GGATGATGGTCCAAAGCTCTCCCTGGGCAAGAACCAGTGTGCTGGAATTCACTTCATGTGCCCTCAACTCCCCTGATTAAAGAAGGTCGCTGAGCATAATCTAGTTGGACTGCAAAACCTCCCAAGCCTAGTCTAGTGTGGCTAGAAGCTGGACGGTCCTTGACCACTGGGAGCAATGATCTTAAACTCTCCTGGAGGCTTGGGATGGTGTGCAGGAACTCACCCCAGCTGGCAGCTGAGTTCCCTGGATTGAAAGAACAATTGCATATACTTTTAATGGAGATTTTAATCATTTTGTATCTGTTTCATGGATTGTATTTTTCTCCTATGTTGGGTATTTTTTGTCTGCATCTTTTTCTAAGCTCATCTATTCTTTTGTGTCTTGTCTAGTATCTTCAAGTTTAAACATCGTTTCTTTTTGTACCTGAGACATCATTATCTCCGTACCCCTTTTCCACTTGTTTTTTTTTTTTTTTTCACTTTTGTTGTTATCATTTCAGACATTTCCAGTGTTTTGACTTCCAACTGCATCCATTTCGTGGAGTTCCAGGCCTGTCCTGGGTAGCCGGGGAGTCTGGGGCCACAACCTGCCTCTGCATCTTTCCATTCCCCACCTTCTCTTTTTTCTTTTATTTGTCTTCTGTGTCGATGTCCAACCTCCTGTGATATATAGCTCTACCTTCAGGATTGAGACCTTTCTCCAGGAAAAGCAATGTTTGTTCCTCTGGGATGTCTTCCAGATATAACTGGCTCTTTACAGATATCCCAAGAACGTACCTTTTTCTGGCTTTACAGTTCTGTGATAATGTCTCTGCTGCATCCCAGAGATATCCTGGGTATAGAACCGATCTTGGCCTCTGGATTTGGGGGCTGGGACTGATCTTCTGTTGGTGGAATTCCCCAGAGTCCAAATACGGTCTCCTCGCTGCTGCTTTAGATGCTTCCATGTTACTGGCTTCATTGATTATTTGCCCTCAGACATGCACGTCCATCTACGTACTGGGCTGTTGTCCTGGGTCTTGGGGTTCCCATAGGTCTTATACCCTTCCAGCTGGCCCGCCCTCCAGGATGCAGTGGAGGGGACCAGATCGCAAACTCACTGTCTTCTCGCCAGTCACATCATCCAGAATATAATGGAGGAGGACAGAGCCCGTGGACTCATTGTTGACCAGCCGGTCCACCCTCCAGGATGTCCCCACTTCTCTCCTTGGCCAAGAATAAAAGTATCCATCACTGAGCAATCAGCTCTCAGTCATGTTATTGTTCCCACAATTCTGAGAGGGAAAAGAACCTAGTTTGGGGTGAGAAATTGCTAACAGAAACATATAAATGCATCGTTTGAGGATAACGGATGTTTAAGACAGCGAGGCAGGGGAGGGTTAGTGAAGCTAAAAGCAGCTTGTCTTGGTTCTTTCCCTCACTGACACAGGGCTTGGCCTCCCTCCTACACAGCAGTATGGTGCCCTTTTCCCAGACTTCTGTGTGTGAAGACACCAGTGAGCACCTTCGGGTGGTTTATTATGTAGCTCGTCTCCTCTCTTGTCTTTCCTGTTTTATGCAGACTGACTTCCCCTTTGGTGACCCTGGCAGCTGAGTTCAAAACCAGGGTCAAAGCTCTGCTCACAGCACAAATGGCTTCTTGTAAATCCTGGCTGGGTTGGGGGGAGGGGACGGTAGTTGCCCGGCTTTTAGTCCCCTGTGAAGTTTTCCGTGCCTCAAAAGAGATCTGTGTCACATTGGTTTGAAGCCATATAATGTTTTCACTCATTAACTGGAATGGTTTTAATCTGGGTTGTTCGATTTTATTGTCTGTGATAGTACGAATAGCAATTTTGAAGAAAACAAGACATCATAATAGCTAGTGCTGATTTAATACATCTTGTCTTGAAGTTCCATCAAGCTGTTGTTCATCAGTTTCCATGGGTTTTAACATGTTGTACCTTATTATATTTTACTATATGTGATAGTATAAGCAAAATTTTTTATAGGCAAAGAGATAATATAGAAACCGTTGTTCGTTTTCTGTTAGCTGGTTCTAAATACCCTGTAATTCTTACATTCTCTTGAATGGCTTCACATTGTCTTAATAAGTTTGTTGCTATAGTATACGAAGTTATACTCAAATAACTCAAGGAAAGAGACACTATGGTGACTACTATTATGTCAGGTTATCTGGTGGTGAAACACAATGATGCTTAAATTGTTCGGTTCTGACCTGTGTTGTTCTGTTACTATGTACTCTTTTATCTCAATCTCCCACTTTTTAAAAATAAATTAATTTATTTTTTCTTATTTTTTAATTAAGGGAAAACTAAATTAAAAAATACTGGGATATATTACAGTAACTTTTTTGTTTTCCTATTAACCTGATTTGAACCCCAGTATTGCTCTCTCCATCTTGTTCTGTTTGATTTTACTATATTCTGTTTTGTTTTATAGTATCAAGTTTGAGGGTATAGGCAACCACTTTGAATGCAATAAGATTTACTATGATGCCATTATAGTTTGACTGTTGTTTTCTTTTGAAGTTCTGTAAGGTCTCCAGTGTAGGTTTTATTGGTCTTGTTCTGTACTGTTTTGTTCAATTCTGTTATACCTGATGATATAGGCAACTCTTTTCAAGATTGCAAGAGGCATGATGGTAATCATTTTTGATCACCTGGTATTCTGTTTTTGCATCATATACTATGTCCATCCTTTTGTTCTGACTCTGCTTTGTTTTGTCACATTTGGTTTTATTCTCTTCAAAAAAAAGTAGTAAGAACTATGGGAGTAATAAAACCCAAAAAGTGTAATTGTTATTGTAAAAAAGAGAGGAAAAGAAAGTGGCCTAAAGGATATAACTGCATGTATATTTAAGTGTGTAGGATAGAAAACCATATTAATGAGTTTTTGTTGGATCACTGAACAGAACTGTCTGCAATCTCACTGTATGAATGTTCACTTTGTATGCTTTAATTTTGTAATTTGGACAACTGTTTCTAAGATGACAATATGTAATCTACTAACTAGTGATTTCTTACTGTATATTTTTTTTTCTTGAAATCTGTACTACTTGTGCCCTTTTACTGCTTTTTTTTTCTCTTTTTTCTCTTCAAATTAAAAACAAAAAGGGAGAGAGAGAGAGATCTATGTGTGACCAAATGGTGCTGAATGTCAACCCAGCAGGGCCAGCTAAGGTGATGTGTTGTCCCTGACACTTTTATGGCCTTCAAACTCTGGATCTTGGAAGGTGCTTTGACTTTAAGGTAGACCTTCCTTCTGAGAGAAAACGAAAACAGAACTAAAAACAAATCAGGCACATCGTACTTATCTATAATCCCAACACTCTGGAGGCTGAGGTAGGAGGGTCATGATTTCAAGGCCAATTTGAGCCACAGAATAAGACCTTGTCTCAAAAAGAACAATAAACAAACCAAACCAAAACAAACCTCAAACCAATAAATTTTTCAAAGCAATTAAAACAAAAATCAAAATAAAACCAACCCTGCTTTTCCTGGGGATCACTCAGTTTTTAATTACCAGTGATTGAGAACCGTTAGGGAGTCTCAGGAAACCCATCCCTCAGCATTTAGTGCTTGGAAAAGTCTACTTCAGATTTCTGAAGGGACAGAACAAATTTCCAGTGAGTTTCCTAATTTGAAAAATCTGTTACTGAAATTTCCTTTTTAATCATAGAGACACTCTTTGAGAACAGGGACCGCTTATGAGTGGATGCTGAATGTGTACGTTCAAATTTAGTGGGATGCCCACCAGGCTGGTCTTGGGGCAGTTCTGGTAAGGGGCTTCACAGCGACTCCAGAAGGGACCAGCAAACTCTACCGTCTGGCCCGTTTCCTTGTTGCTTGGTGGACTTGGGGGCGGGCGGGGGAGGGAATCGTGGCCTGACTGTGCACGGTAGGCAATTGCCCTAACACTGAGCCATCTTCCCCTGGCCAGCCTCACTACGTTTATCTTATTTTTATTTTTTGATACTACTGGGGTGAACCCAGAGTCTTCACATTAAGCTGCATTCCCAGCCCTAACACTGGACTAGCCCCTCAAGGCTCAGGACTTCTCTTTTCTTCTTCAAAACAGATGATCAAACCCAGGACCACCACCCTGAACTATACCCACATTCCTTTTAAATTTTAAAATTTTGAGACAGGATGTTGCTAAGTGGCTAAGTGACCCACGTTAAACCCTAATTTGCAGTCCTCCTGCCTCAACCTCCCAGAGTGCTAGAATTACAGGCCCGGCCCACTATTCCTGGCTTTTTTGATTAGTAAACTCACTGGTTTATTTTGCCCACATTTGTTCTTGTTTCGAGATTTTTTTTTTCCTTGACTTCCTCCTGGTTATTCTTTCCTTTCAAATATTTCCCAAACAAGCTCTTGCTTTGCTGCTTTATTTCATTATTCGTCAGTCTTCGTGGTGGCACTGTGGAAACTAGACACAGGGTACAGTGTCAGACACAGCTGGCGTCAAAGCCCGACTCTGCCACTTGTGGCTGTGACCCTGGGCAGGTCCCTTAGCCTCAGTAAACCACAGGTTCCTCGACTGTAACCTAGAGCAATGGTTTGATAGTGTCAGGGCTGTTTGCAAGAGTGCAGTCCTTTAGGAGTATATGATGCTCATTCGCCACACCCTTTTCTTTCTGACTTCTTAAAGTAATAAGTCCTTTTGAATTCGGGTAATCAGAATTCTTATAGGTCTAAACGAGGATAGCCCCAAGCAGGATACAAACAACAGGGTGACATGCAACTTGCATTTACTTGACTTTATTATATTGGTTTTCTAACTTCATATGCAGAAAGCAACCCTGTGCCCCAGAATGTGCCTGGAGAGAAGGGGTGGTCCAGGCGCGCTGGTTAAGTAAAGCCCAGATACCAATGCTTTCGTCCACAGACTGGAAACAAGAAAGGAGGGGGTTGAACCATGGGGTTCGCTTCTAGGTTTTATGAAGCGGAAGAGACTGACTCTAAGAAGAGCCAGGCCCGGGCAGGCTTCCCCGCGCGCCGGGGCCGGCGGGTGCGCCCGGAGAGCGCGCTTCGCCCCCTAGAGGCGCCCGGACGCCGCGCGCTCAGCCGTGCCGAGAGTCGGAACTCGGGTTTCCGTTGATGAAAACTTTCCGCTTTCCCGGGCAGCGACTCTCACCCCGAGATCCTGAACTCTTCCCGCACACCTGCGCTGCGATTACAGACTGTGGCCGCCGGAGGGCAAGGTGAGGGCCGGGTGGGACCGCGGTATAAAGACAAGTCCCCGGGATGGGGACTGTTCCGGGTGCAGCTGCGGGGTGAGGGGCCGGGCCGCGCGTTTCAGTGCAGATGTACCCAAACTCCTCACTCTCCAAGCAGTTGTGCTGGGTGTGAGTGCTGCTGCTTAAGGTGTTTCGGGTTGGGACTCATTTCTGCCAGGCGTGAGTTTATACCCTTATTCCGACCCTGGAGGCGCGATGGTGGGGGCGGTGGGAAGAGGGGCGCAAAGGCACTTCCTGCCCACCGCTCGCGCGTGGGGGTGGGGCACCGCCGCGCCTCGTCCCCGTGGCCTCGGGCGGGGGGTGCCTCCCGGAGGGGTCTCCGATTGCAGCCGCCCGCGGGAGGTGAGGTGGCCGGGGGCTCCGCGGCGTCCCGGCGTCGCTTCCCTTCTGCTCTCCGAGTCCTTGGCGCTGCCCGGCGCCGTGACCACGCGTGGCTCTCCGGGGACCCGACGCGCTACCTCCCCTGGCGGGCTTCTGACGCCGGTGGAGACGCGGGGGACTCGGTGGTGGGAGAAGGGAAGGGGGGTCGCGGAGGAGGGTGCTGGGAGGAGACGCGGGAATGTCGGGGGGAGGGTCGGGGCTGTGTGGGGGCCCTTTGGAGAGGGTAGAAAGGGGATCCACACGCGGGGGCGGATGTTTGCAGAGCGAGGGCGACCCGGTGGTCTCTTGGGTCGCGGAGGGGCTTGAGGCTGCGCTACCTGTGTGAGCGCGCAGTCTGCGCCCAGCCAGGCTCTTGCCTCTTTCCGGAGTGTGTGGTTTGGAGACGAGCGCAAAGAGACACGAAGCCTGCCACTTCAACCCCACGGGGATGGCGCGGCAGAAAAACAGATGTTGTGCAATTTAACCGAGCTAGGTTAGAGCACGAAAGCAGTACACACCGTGCACTTTCTGAGACTGCGGCGGGAGGCGCCCTACCTGTGCTTTCCAGCCTGGCGACCACTGGATGCGGGTTGCTGTGAAGCCCTTGAGAAATCGGTGCTGTGAGCCTGGAGACCCTTCAGAGGAGCGGTTGTCTGGCCCTAAGTGGAAATTAAGGCTGGAAAGGAAGGATGTACTCAAGAGCTGAACCTTCTGCATCATTGCAGTGGAATTGGGAAGGATCTTTTATTTGACGATGTAATGAGAGCGCGTCAAAGACTGAGAATCGGCAAATCTAGGTTTTATTTTCTCTCAAATTTTTAGTAGTTTACTTTTGCGACACATAGCAAATACATTCCTCATGGGGAAATTGGTACATACACGTAACTATCTTGAGCCTATCTCCCCCCCCCCATACCCAGATCCCTTTTCATTCAAAGAACGAAGTCTTTCATTCATTGAGCATTTGTATTGTGGATTTGGGGGGAATGTTAATTTTGTTACTTCTGCTCTAATCTTTATAATGTCTTCCCTTTTACTAGCTTCAGATTTGGAATGTTCTTGTCTTTCTAGGCCTTGAGATACATCATTAAGTTATTTATTTGGGGTCATTCTGTTCTTACTACGTGCGCGCTGACAGCTATAATCTTCCCACTTAGTATCAGTTCCCCTGGAGCCTGGATTTCTTAGACCCAGTCCTAAAGCCAATGGTGGAGGTCTCAAAAAGGCCAGGAACCTTGCTGAGGCAGAGTGCCTTCCTGTGAGACAGGGAGCCTCCTTCTGGCAAGTTTGAAAGATAAGTGAACTGGAAGGAGGGAAGGGTTCTTCTGTGCGACGCCCGCTTCCCTTGTGGATACTCTGGGCCGCCTGCGGAATCTCACTTGGAGCAGAGATTCCAGGCAACAACTTGATGGTCATTCTGGGACTTTCGTAATTACCTGTCCAAAGTGTCAGGCCATCTGTTTCCCGTCTCTTGTTACAGTTCCTCTTCCTTGCATTGTCATCTGGCGCTGCTCCTCCCAGTGTGACATGGAAACCCAGGAACTGTGCTTTTCTCATCAACTTCTTTAGGGGCTCCACAAAGCCAGGGAAGTGTTAGAACCGTGAGAGTTAAGATTGTGGGCTGAGATTTGATTAGACACAGTCTTCTTGCAGCCGTTTAACTCTGAAAACATTGTTGGCTTTCTGACCTTTTGTTTCCTGGACATGAGAAATTCTGTCAGATCCAAAATGACTTTCAAGGGTAGGCATTCTCACTTGAATAATCTTGAGAGAAGCAAGTGAGGCTAAAGATACATTTTCCCCACCAATCGGAGGGCGCACAAATAATAGCCCAGACAAATTTGAATAGTTTCCCTTGATACTAAATCTAGATTTGTATTTCTAATTTGGATATATTCATACGGTTAGCTGTGTTACTATTAAAGCTTAGGAGTGTGTGTCTGTGTTTTGAGACAGGGTTTTGCTGTATAGTACAGTCTGGGCTTGAATTTATGATCCTCTTGCCTAATTGAGATTAACCTGTACCACTATCCTTAGCTGCACAGTTCCAAAGAAACTTGTCCAGTCTTCCAGAGATAATAAATTTGAGCAGCACTAGAGCTTGTTAATTGTCTTGTATTTTTTCATGGCATCCAACAGGGCCTATGATTACTTTTTGCCTTTTCGTTAAGGGACTTCGAAGGATGACTCCATGAAGAGTTTGGTAAATAAAACTATGTCTCCTTAACTGAGCTGTCTTACACAAAATTGTAAGTCTTTGTGGAACGATAATGATGGGAATATTAAAGTTACCTTTTATAGAACATTGCATAGCGCTACAATTCATTTACTTCTCAGGACAATCCTGTGATGAAAAGGAAGCAGTGTTTAAGTATTTACGATCCCTTAGGATTGTCATTAGATGGGGTCTGAAGAAGTGCCCCAAAGAGATGGGGATGTCAACTTGCCCAAATATGTTCTTGACTCTTGTGTCAGATAAAAGCATTTCAGGATTTGTCAATGAGAGGCATAGACTGGTTTATTCGGCAGAGTTGGAAAGCAAGAGAAAATATGGAAGAGACTTCAGCTTCAAGAGTTGAAAGAGGCAGCTCTCTGAAGACCAAAATGACCTGCTACAAAAGAGTAAGACCAGCTTTTATGGATTTTCAGGTGTTGGCCTGGGTCAGGTTGGTTATTATCACACCTCTGAGTTTCCATGAGTTGATTGTTTCTGACTAGGGCTTAATGAGTTTGGGGGAAATTGCTGGGATCCACGGTGATCGCAGATTTAAGGCAGTGTCTGGAGACCTCTAGGCATGCATTGGAAGTTGAATATCCCTGTAAATGTCTTATTCCTCAGAATTAAGAGAGATGAGTCCTCAGGTAAACTAAAGAGTAGCCAGCCAACCTTGTATTGGCAGCTTTTATATATAGGTAACCATAAATGATTAATAAGCTTATACTGTTTGCAGAGCTGGGGATCTGGCCCGGATTATTTAGGATAATAAAGGAGAGGTATAAAATGAAGGTCATGCTTTGTTTACTGGGTATCTGTAGACCCCAGAAAAGTCACTGTATTTTGTTTTTGTTTTTTAAGCAAAAACAGCTGTTAAGTCCTTGACTGCCTCAGAAGAAAACACAAATCATACTCTTAATGAGCAAAGAGGTAACAGTCCAGGAATTTGTCCTCTTTTCCTATGGTGGTCTCTTACTTCAAGATTGGCATAAAAGGACTATTATAATTTTTATGGTTTTGGGGATCAAACACAGGTCCTTGCACATGGTAGTTAGGCAGGCTCACTAACACCTCTAGCTGTTAGCATAAAATCGTGTGCGTGTGTGTGTGCGTGCACGTGTGTGCGTGCACGTGTGTGCATGCAAACAGGTACGGCTTTTATTCCACGCACAGAGGCAGCGTGAGGGGTGAGACCAGGAGCTTGGAGCACATTTAGACTCTCAAGCCTGCTATCAAGTGGCTATGTGACCATCATGTTAGTTTCTTTCGCTGGGTCTCAGTGTTCAGATCCACTGAAATAGTGGTAATAACCCCATATTGAACAAATCTTTTATTTCTAGTGAAACATGATGTTTTTTGGACTTGGGAAGAAAAGTACTGCACAGAGAACAAAATGTTTCAGCTTCAAGGGTTTGTGTCATTTGTAACAGGAGGCTGGGGAGGGACAAACTCCATACGTAATGTGATTTATCCAGTACTTACGTTAAAAAAATCGAGCTTGAGCTCTATGATTGGATTAGCTTTACATTTATTAAAAGAGAAATTAAATTAAACTGCTTAGGTTATTTTTGGTAGGGACATTGAAGGTACCCATGGTCAGCAGGTGCTTTTTTCTGGTTGATATTACTTAATGAAAATTTGGGGATGGAGACAGTTTTTTCCTTTACACTCTTCTATGTACTTTTATTCCAGGAAGCTCTAGTGAACCCAAAAACAACTGAGTTCTGAAAAATATATGTAAGGTCCGTCTCTATTCTCTTTCTTTCTTTGGAAATTATTGTTGGGATAACTGCCTCAAATCTGATAGATTTGAATTTTTATTTATGCATATTTTAAGAGTATTTTTTAAAAACTCCATCCCAATTGTCAAGTCATTTGAATTGTTCTGTGACCTGTGTATCAAACATGTTTCTTCCTACTCACTTTTAGTTTAAAGTAGCTTATGTGGTGATTTAGGCTCATAGCAGGCTGTGCTTGGTGAATACTGATATTCTGGGATGTTTTCATTATGAGATTAAAACCTCTGTGCCTGAGGAATCAGGGCGAGGTTAGTTTAGCCAGGGCTTCCTGGGTCTTGAACATTTGAAAATAGGTATATGCGTTAGTACCAAGAAACAATTTAGCATTAACTTCAGGTGTCCTCTGTTACACTGTGAAAATAGAGATTATGGTTTTCTTGCTTTCCGGTTTTCCAAACAATGTTATTTATTTGGTGGGTTTTCAAATGTTTGTTAATCAAGATATCTTTGGTAATCTTCATCTTACCCTCCTCTTCTGGTTTCTCTTTGACTGTGACTACTTGAAAACCAATCAAGTTCATCTTTGTTGTGGTCTGGGCTTGGTTGGTGATAATCTGAAACACCCTGAAGGATTTTGGTCTAATCCAGGG